AGTTCCCCCAGCTCAAGGTCGAGCACCAGCTCATTGACTCCGCGGCCATGATCATGGTCAAGGATCCTAGAAAGCTTAACGGTATTGTTGTCACTAGCAACCTGTTCGGTGACATCATCAGTGATGAGGCGAGCGTTATCCCTGGTTCTCTGGGACTCTTGCCCAGCGCGAGCTTGAGCGGTATTCCGGACGGAAAGACCAAGGTCAACGGGATCTACGAGCCTATTCACGGTACGTTTTCTCCTGTTGTCTGCAGCTTGCGATCTGAGTGCACGCTGACATAAAACAGGTTCTGCCCCCGACATTGCCGGCAAGGGCATCGTCAACCCCGTCGCCGCCATTCTCTCCGTCGCCATGATGATGCAGTACTCCCTGAACCGCATGGATGACGCCAAGGCCATCGAGACGGCCGTCCGCAATGTGATCGAGGCCGGTGTCCGCACTGCCGATATTGGCGGCAAGTCGACAACTAGCCAGGTCGGTGACGCTGTTGCTGCCGAGCTGGAGAAGCTGTTGAAGCAATAGTGGATATGCAAAAGCAAGTTTTTCGGTTTTCTCGTCGCACGAGCAATTTCCGTCCCATGTGATGTCAAATGGGATATGACTTGAGTAGATTTAAAATAGATATGACTCAATACTTTATTAATTATCAGAATATCGAGACCATTGGCCCGCGATTGTCGATAGCACCCGGTGCCCCAGCAGCGCGCTCGCTCCATGTAGTAGAATATAAGAAAGGTAAGAAATGGGTATCTTCAACTGGTAAACACAGAATATCGATAGCAAACCCGCCCTCATGCACCTGTCGCTTGGTTGAGAAATGAGAACCGCCGCGAACACCATTTTGCAAATGCCACCCGAAATGGTAAGACATACATGGGCAAATCCCACCCCTATCGTATTACAGGCTCCCCCATCCAGTCCGGCTCCTCCAGACCACCGACCCTACCCCCGTCAGCATCCCCATTGGGATTACGTCCCTCAGCCCCGCCATCATTGAGACTCCCGCGAAGGGACCGCCGAGCACTGTGCCTTCGGGTCCGTCCATCCGCAGAGGCAGAGGGGGCATTGCCCATACGCCGCCGATCGTCGTCGCGCGCAAACACCTGGAACCCGCGCACATGCGTATCCTTCCCATTCTGATGGTTCTCCGTCACGCGCATCTGGATCACCATGGCTTTCAGCACGTTCCCCGCATACGGGTCGTCTTCGTCGTCCTCGCTGGCGCTTTCGCCGTCGTCGTAGTCATAGGCCGCTTCGTCGTATTCGACCGGGTTCTCCGAGTCTGAAAACATATAGTCTGGCCATGCGACGCCCTTGGACTTTCCTTTTCCCTTGCCCTTGCCGTCCTGAGGACGGGTCCGCGTGCGCTTCCGCCGTCGCCTCCGGACCCAGCCGCCGTCTCGGCCTCCCACGCCTTCCAGGGGTATATCGACCCAGCCGCAGGGCCCTTCACCTTCCCAGGTTGCGAACTCCACCAGGTCATTGCCGCCCATGCCGGCTAGGAAGACCATCTTGGTAGGGGTGTAGCTTTCGTCCATTTCGAAGTCGAGGTAGACGCGGATTTTGACCACTGCGACAAGTTTGAAGAAATGCAGGGTCAGCATGTGCGGTTGCGGCCCGTCCGATTGCCAGTACTGGGTGGGTGAGGGGTGACGGAGGGCTGCAACACCGCAGCCTGGTTTGTGTGTCGAGACGGTCCATGAGGCTAGGGAGGATATTTCGCGGAGGTTGCTTGGTAGCGGTGAGGGCGACCTGTCTGCGGAGTAGATGAGCAATTGTCACCTTTCCGGTAAGACCGAAGGGGATTGATATTGTGCCAGCTTACCCCGATCGTGCATCAATTCATCTTCGTCTTCTTCGCCTTCCAACTCCTCGCCAGCCATGCCTTCCATCTCCTCGGCCGAGAAATCCCTCTCTTCCTCCTCCAACTCCAGGTCTAGACGTCGATGGTCCATTTCATAGCTCTGATCTACGTCCTCGTCTTCCTCACCCACATCTTCTTCGTCATCTTGGTCGTCCTCATCCATCATCTGCCCTCGCTGCCGGCCAGAAACTCCCCGCCCGAAAAGAGAAAACAGCGCGGCTTGCGCAGCGGCACCAGGGTGGGCGGGAGCGGATTCAGCCATCTCGACAGGCCCAGATGAAGGATGCAATTGCGGGATATTCCGCGACGGGGGCGTCTGGAATTGTGTTTGAGCAGATCCATGGCCCAGTCGCGATCTGCTTGTCTGTTGCTGTGGGGGTTCGTCGGAGTTTGTTTCTGGGACTGGCGCGGGGTGTCTTCGGAGGAGGTGATGGCGAGGCATTGTGAGGCTTTTGCGGGAAGTTGAGATAGTTTGCGTGAGCTTTGCGTTTATCCAGGCATCTCAGAAGCTCATGTTGGAGGACCTGTACGGAACGCTCCCTCTACGCGGAATCTCCTCCGACTTCTTGATCTTATCGCGTCGGCGAACGATTGAATCTCCGCGTTGATGTCACGTGCCTCAAACAATGAGCATACAGTAGAAGGCCAAAACGTTTTCCAATTAGTACCTCTCTATAAATGCCACAGGTTGAACCGTCTAAAAACAGATTTACTAGAAGAAATGCTATGATACAACGACGAGCAGCCGTAACAAATCGGACTCAAGAGTAGGAGCAGGATGCGCTGTTGAAATCAGACCCGCTCCGATGCCAGTCCTGGTCAGAAGTCCTTTCTATTCCTGAATATCCACGTAACCCAACTTCTGGCCCATTTTGATTCGCTGGCCTTTCTCAATGGTCCAGTTCCATCCTCCTTCACGTTTCCCTTCTTCCCAACCAATATCGAATGATTTCCTGGTTCCCATCGGTGCCTCAAAGACAAGCACGATGGAGCTACCCAATTGGAAACCACCCATTTCTTCTCCTCTCTGCAGGGGATGGCCACCTAGTGTCCTGCTTGCATGGAGGTAGGTTGCCTCAACAAATCCGGGATATTGCTCCCCTCTTTGTGCGGCAAGTGCTGCAGCCCGATCTGCAACCGTGTCTGTTGTGAGACTGTTCGTGCGTAATTCTGAGTCGAAATTGATCTTGATGGACCCCACGTTCGTGGCGCCTACGGGGATATAGCTGAAAAAGCCCCATCGCCAGCGACCCAGTAGAGCAACTCGCTCATTCAGAGTAAAAAGACCCGGCAAGTGACGTTGAAGGTAAGGTGAAACAGAGTACAGTTCGCCTGCAAAATGTCGACGACTCTCAACAACCCATGACACGGGAGAGTGGAAGCGATGATAGTCACCGGGCGCAAGATAGATTACCACGTAGTAGAGCGCATTGTTCGATGTCGGCTTAGGCGCATACCACGGCGAGCCGTCCCCGCGAGCTATTTCGGCCTTCACTGCTTCTTCTGCAGCAGCTTCTGACTTTGTGGATGCGTCCAAAGAAGCCGCCCGTCTCCGTGCCCCTCCCTTGTCTCCTGCAAGGAGGGTCGGCAGCGTATACGAGATACCGTTCACTTTGGCGAATTCCTCATCAGCTAGCATATTAGCTGCATCTTTATGGGATGGTTCTGTCATGTGGTTCATAAATTTCTTGCTGTGGTCAGCGGAAGACGGTGTGGCAGCACCTAAGAGCGCATCCAAGCTGTACGTTATACCCTTGACTTGTTCCACCTCACCGCGGTCAATCAGACCAAATTGCAGGATGCGGCCATCTGACGGGGAGACAATGGCGTGGGGGTCAGGATCTATTGGTCGTACGCCTGGCTTTAGTTTGCGATAGAAGAAGGCGGCCAAATTCGGATACGTGTGAAGGTCTGGTTCGGCTACTTCATCCAGATTGACACCGAAGATCCAGGAATAAAGTTTGAATCCAGGAACACGAAGATAATAAGGGAGTTCCAGCTCGTTGAAGGCTCCCCACCAGCGAGACATTGCCTTGAGAGGCAATGTCGACAGGATCTGGACCTGCCATGGTCCGCTGGGCCTGACTCGGGGACGTGGAGGGGGTTTCTCGAAATCAAACGACTCTCCGAGTGCCTCCCTCTCGGCGCGTTCTCGTTCCGCCCGCTGTGACTTGTAAAAGTGCAGTAAACCCAGTAAACCGATACCCAGACCAACAGGAATCGGGTACCATTCTACTTTCGTGGTTCGCAAGGCAAATCGAAGTCGAGATCCAAAGGAGCCCCTTGGCGACGAACGCTCATGGTTGTTCTGACCATTGTACTGCTTCCATGATTTTGTAGAAAATTCTTTAGGACCGGTCCGGCGACGACCAGTTGCTCTGAAAGACACCATATCCATCACTGCAGCTCTGCCCCCATTAGGGGGAATCGTGAGCTTCCGGCGAAAGGGTGCAGAACAGTTGGAGAGGCACAGGGCCATAATCACTGATCTACTCCAGAGACATCATCCCTTACGGGAGGAGAGATGGCGATGATGTATGTGGTGTCCTGTACAAGCAGACTGAGATAAGATGGATTGTTGTCAGCCAAATTGTATGCATCGATTATTTCTCTTAAGTTTTGCGTCATGCGATGCCCACCGCCCGGCAGAATAAGCGTGTCTATCGGCTTCTTCGATACTCTGCACCGTCTGTTGTTTATCCAATCTCTTTCATTAGGTTTCTCCCTCTTCTCTGCCTTGTTCTGTCTCTGAGTACGTGAGGTCATTTGGAACGGGTAGCTTATTAGACAGTTTCCGTCTGAGCCTCTACCTTCAAATGGTGGGGTACTGACCGACGGACTGATGAAAAGGACACCGTCATCCTCAACGCCGCTCTCTCTCCGCATTCTGCTCTGATAGTTCCATCTCCCTTCTTATATGCCTGTTTCCGACCAACCGAGGAATGAACAATCCATTTGAATTTATTGTTTGAATTCTTGGCCCGGTCTCGACTTTTACAGATTCTGATTCCTTGTCATCATTTCTCAGCCTTCACGATAGGTACAGGGTCGTATGTACCTGAGAGGATTATGAGCCCGTGTCAGCTACACTTCCGTCAAACATTTGAAAGCAGAAACATCGGGTTTCCAGATTATGGCGTCCAATTCTTCTGATCAACCAAGTGCACCTTTGGAGACCGTTCCGCGCAGCATCACCTTGCACGTGCTCTGCCCGTCTCTACCCAATCGCTTCACCTTCAATGATCTTCCCCTCTCTACGACTGTGGCTGGTCTCAAGGCTCGCTTGACCGAATCAATACCAAGTCGTCCAGCGCCGAGTAACCAGAGATTGATCTGGCGCGGAAGGGCACTTTTAGACGATGCTATGACACTGGAAAGTGTCCTGGGCCCCACGGATGTATGCCCCACCGCCAGTTCCCTTTATTTGGCTGAGCCTCTCGCATTTGGAATAGCTACTGACAATTGAGGATACGCGTAGAGTACCGAATATTCCATGCATCTTGCTCTTCCGCCGCCCTCCACCGTCGGCTCCGCTAGAACCTTCACTCCATCCGCTTCCGAACCCCCTGCAACTGGTCGCCTACCAGACCCTTTTCTCAATAGAGCATGGTCTTCTGCACTTCCGACTCTTCCAACTTCTACTCAGAGTTTCAGACAAAGGGGCTCGATACCGACTGGCGTACCACATGAAGCTGAGATTGGACTTGCCCTCCAGCGTAACATTGACCAGATCCGCCGACAAATTCGGACAGCTGCGCAACAACCGAGATCGGGACCGCAGGGGGTCGCAACTACTCCCTCCGTGGATCAAGCAGGCGCACAACAGCGGACGGGTGTCTTTCAGTCGGGTTATCCTCCTGCGAGATGGTCAACAAGAGCTCATGGGCCACTGGGCCCTTCAGACCTTCCCCAACCCCGAACTTGGCCCGCTGGTCATTTGGCGTCCACGGGTATTCAGGCCACGAATCTGCGTGCTCCTCTAGATGTCCTACAGCTCCAGGTAAACTATGCCGAGGACCAGCTTCAACTGGGAATCGCACCCCCGGCAGAACGAATCATTCGTATTCGTAATCAGCTTTGCGAGATGCTAGACGATCTCTACAGTGATCCACGTGCTGCACGCAACGGAAACATTGAAGCGTTGCTTTCTCGTATTTTTAACATCTACACTCGCGCGGATCAACTTCGCATCACGCAGTCTAGATTGCAACCCTCTCTCCTCGCTACCAACGCTTCTGCAAATGCGGAACCGGCGCGGCCTCCTCTGTACCTTCTATCGTCACCGGGCGGATATCAAGCTCTTGTCGCGTCACCGGGCGCGACAAACTCAATTCAGGCGTCGCTTGCTTCCTTCCATGCGTCGCAGACTCCTGAGTTTACACCCATGCAGGCTCCAGCTCAACCAGCCGGATTCCGAGCCAATCAGGAGGCTGTAGTTCTGGAAAATGTTGTTCGTCAAGCTGTGCTAAACCAGCGAGCGGTGAACAATGGACCGGTTGATCTTTCCAGGTATATTAGACGCATCTGGCTCTTCGTCCGGTTGTATTTTTTCTGCTACATGTTCAGCGAGCCAGGAACTTGGTCGCGAGTCTTATATGTTACGCTAGCCGTGGTTGCCTCTCTTCTTTCCGAGACCAGTATTCCGCGGCAGCTGTTCAATATGACAGTCGCTCCTCTCCAGCGTCACCTTGAGGGATTGTTACATGTAGCTCCTGATGCTGCTGACAATAATGGCGCTCAGGCTGCTGCAAATGGCATTGGCATACTCAACGACAACCGTGCCAGCCTGCCCGGTCAGCTTCGCCAGGGTGTCCGGCGATTGGAACGATCTGCAGCGCTGTTCGTTGCCAGTCTGGTTCCCGGGGTTGGCGAAAGACAGATTGAGGTGCGAAATGCGGCCGAGGCAGCCCGTAACGCGCAGCTCGCACGAGAAGAAGAGGAGCGTCGCAGACAGCAGGAGACCGCGGGCAACGACGAAAACAGTGCAGAGCGGCAAGAGTCTCATGAGGAAGCGGACGGCGCAAATGAGCGCGTCGAGCCAGCCGAACAGAACACCATGACTCCTAATCAATCCGAGCCTTTGATACCCCTTGAGCCTGACGAATGAGCGAACAGTTTCTCTTCTTTGACTTTGACATTAGCGTTGAGTTATCGCATGAGCGTTTTTACCTAGCCTGCATTTTTTGTTTATTCTGATGTAGAATAGCACATACGTCGAATGGATTGATGGTGTTTACCTCAGTTGAAATTGCGTAACAGGTACTGTGTTCTTCTCTAGTTTGTAAAGATCAAAACCTGTTGGTTCAACGTTCCTAGTCTAAGATATCTGCTGGAGATTCTCTTCTACCAGCCACTAATCTTCCATCTACAGCTTAAGGCCGAGCTTCTCTGCCGACGTATGCTGAGGGGAGGTGGGAACCTCAGACGGCGGCGCCATCGGTCCCGTATCAAACGACTCCTCTCCATTGAAATGCCTATCCATCGACTCATTAGTCCTCTTCCCAAACACTGCAACCCAACGGTCGAAGGAAGTACTCACCAGCCTCTCTCAGCCCCCGTACTGAGAAACCCACAGTCCCCATTCTTCACACAGTCCCATCCACCCCCGACCCCCTTCCCACCGCGCCAATCCGGCACCTTCATCTCAGCCCGCAGGATCTTCGTCCCGGGAGCCAACGCCTCAACCCCAACCCCAGCCGTACCAACTTCGTTTCCCCTCCTCCGAAACGTACTCAACCCCGCCGTGAAAACAAAAAAGTCCTCCGTGGAACTATCCTTCGGCATCGCGCCCGTCAACGCCCGGCCCATGGCAATCAGCGGCGCCGCATGCGAGCAGATAAGCAGCGCCTTGCTGGTGCGCTGGTCGGGGCGCTGCGAGTCCTCCAGGGCCGCGATCTCGGCGTCCACGTCGGCGATTATGCCTGCGAGCGCGGTGGCGAGGCGATCGTGCAGCTGGGCGATGGTCTCGCCGCGGGGGGAGGGGATGAGGTGCGGGTTGTGCTTTGAGGGGTTGGACGGGAGGATGCTGGGGAAGTGGGTGTGGAGGGTTGACGGTGTGGCGGGGGAGGGATGCTCGAAGAAGGAGGTTGGGCCGAACCATTCCCTTGTATCTCTCATTAACAGTGTATCTTCAATAACCGTGGTAAGGTAGGTGCCAACCCTATCCCATTCTCGACCCTGACGTCAAAGTCCGCGCAGGCGTCGATGTCGCTGCTTTCCTCGTGCTGCTGCTGCTGCTTTGCCTTTAGCGCCTCGACGGTTGGCTGGATCGTCTGCAGACAGCGGTAGAAGGGGCTGCAGTACACGCGGAACGGCTTGGGCTGGAACCCTGGGCTTGCGATGTGCGCGGCCAGTTCGTGCGATTGTCGGACGCCATGGGAGGTTAGGGTTGGGTCGGCGGGGTTTCCGGTTGGAGTTGGGAATTGGGCTCTGTATGTGCCTGTTTTGTAGTCGATCGTCCAACTGAGGCGGTGCTGGAGGAGATGTTGTTAGTGCACTATCTGGATGGAAATGGGTGTTTTGAATCCGGGGGCGGGGTTCAGGGAGTTTTGAGTTACATACGCCATGGCGTGTTAGATATATTGTATCCAAGGGCATATTGCAGCAGTTGAGAAGCAGATGATAAAGGCAACTACAACAGAAATATTGTGTTCGGAATACCAACAAGTCTTCGATCCCCTGGACAATTGCGGGGAACTAACCGAAAGCCAGGGCTGCCAGGCGGTGCATATGAACCTCGGTCCGGATGTGTCTACATCTAGAAGTTTACAGGCTACAGCACATGGCCTAGAATGATGGAGAATAGCTGACTGAATTGAGATAGGTGCAAGATTCACACTCCAGTAAAACTATCTATGGCGTTTCTGTCAGGGTATTATCCTCAACTGCTCGCCAAGACGCCTCGACCATCGAGCATTTCCTCGCTCCTACATCAAACCCAAGCCAAGCTATTTCCGACACACCGACAAGACCTCAAAACTTTTTATTTCAATTCTGATGGAGTTGTCTAGTAGAAGAAGCCAAGGAGCTTGCCAGCAACGTGCTTGCGACGAGCCTCCTCGTGGTCCATGATACCGGCGGAGGTGGTCAGGACGACGTAGCCGAACTGACGAGAGGGCAGCAGCTGGACGGCCCACTGCTCGATGTCGGGGAGCTGGACGGGGTAGCGGGGGTTGATGACACCGCACTTGTTGAGACGACCGTTGAGCTGGATGACGATCTTGCCGGAGCGGTGGTCATCGACCTCCTCGAACTCGCCAATGTAGCCTGGTAGCAAGTCAGCAAGGATGTAGCGAAGATTTAAAAGCTGCCAAACACGAAGAAAAAAAAGAGTTTTGGAAACTTGTAAGATCTTCACATGTTTCAATGAAACAATCTTCAATATATCGGGCACTTAAAGGGCAGACGTTGTAGAGTGGGTTAAGATTCGAAACCGCCGCCTAGTTATCAGCCCGAATGGTGTTGTCCTCCACAGATCTTGCAAGTTTCCAAACCTCCTCCCTTTCCTCATGATGGTATGAAGGCAAAAAGACAAAACGTACCGTGCTTCTGCATGACGCTGAGGAACTTGACAATGACCTTGGAGCTAGGTCTGATCAGGACCTGGCGCTTACCGGCCTTCTCGGCGTTGTTGATGGCGTTGAGCGCATCGTTGAGGACGGAAGTCTTGACCATTTTGACGGTTGATTGAGATTCTCAAATCGAGGAAATGCAGAAATGAGGTATCTATAAGTCGAAACTCTCTAGGGAAGCAAATTTCTCACCGCACGGGATCCACCCAGCTGGAGAAATTTTTGCTCCCGGAAGAGAGAAAACCAGTCAGCCACCAGTAGTCTTCGAGCGCAAAGAGTGCCCCCCAGGGGTTCTTAAGCCCGTGTCGTGATGAGAGAAGCGTATCACCCTGCATCTTTTGACTTCTTTGTTCTCGGTCGCCATTTTGACCAAATTGAGACAAGAAAGCCAAAAACGAGAAGGTGATTGCTCTCCCAGACTAGCTGGGGGGCTGCAAATGAATAGAAGACAGCAAGCAGAACATACCTCGAGGTCGAATTAACGGCGTTGGTGAGGACAGGAGGTTGGTTCAGGATCGAGCTCGGCGCAAGAAAAAGACGGTGAGATTTTCGCGGCTGTGCGCGCTTAGGGTTTCCATTACTGTACCCTTATCAGTCACGTGCTGATAGTATCCGCATCCCATCTAGTGCCTTAGGCATAAAGGCAACCAGAGAATGTGTGATATGGCAGAAAATATTACAGCACAATTCAGCCTACACGAGAATATGTTGGCTACTCATACGTTTATTAATGTATCATTTCCTCTATACAGATTTTTCCATCACACTTCACTGTGAGAAAGGGCAGGATTATACGGGACTTTCAGTGTCAAAAGGGATTCATCGCTATGTTTCTCTTGAAAGGGGTTACATGACTTCTTGGGGCATACATGACGTTCGCAAAAATGCTAGGGAGAATCTTGGTCTAATTAAAACCGCCATAGAAAAAAGAAAAAGGAACAGGAGGCAAGGGTAATTGTGCTAGTAATAAAGTGGGGAGAAGGGAAGGAAGGCCAGAAGATAAATAACAGGGGTGAAGGTGAATGTGAAGGTGAAGGGTGATTCCGAAAAGGGGAACAGTGTGCCCAGCGGATGCCTGCATGGTTGGGGGACTAGGAATAGGGGAGGGACAAGGTAAAAAAGGTTGAGGAATCGGATCGTAGGGGCGTGATACATTAGCTCAAACGAACTTCGATCATATCAGGGTAAGGGGTTAGCCATGAGTGCCGACGTGCGATGCGCTCATGGATAGGAACAAGTAGCTTGCAACATGTACATGCTGATGTTCAGTGCCCTCAGTGAACTGTACTCACATCAAGGGTAGGGGCAACGGGCTCGGCGTCACTTCCCATGCAGCACCTTTGGAAAGTGCTTTCAGTGCAAGGGGAGCCGTGTCCTAACAGCAAGGGTTGTGTAGCATGGCCGGGTTAGAACGCGCTTAAGCCATGGCAGCCGCCGTGGACATGTTGACCTGACGCTTGACCTGCTCGCGTGTCCACCGAGCGGTGTCAATAGTGCGAGGGCTGTATTCCCGGTTGTTCCTAGTCTCCCTAACAAGCGCGGTGACCCAGTCATTGCGGAAGAAGCTGGCGAACTCTCCATTGGGGAACGTATCTGCGAGATCGCTGAAAGGTCGTTAGAAAAATAGTCAAAAAGGTGGAAACAAAGAAGCCATACCCAAGAACGCCCATAGATGCCCTCATAAGACCCTCACTGCGGCTCATGTCCTGAGAGATGATGTGGAGGAGCTGGAAGATTGACTCGACATAGGGCTGGAGCTGAGCGGCTGCGACATTATTAGCATAAGTCAAGCGTGATCAATCGGATATCGCTACGTACCCTGAGGCTTGCCCTTGTAGGTCAGAAGGATACCACCCCAGGCATCCATGATGCCCTCACGAAGCGAGACAATGTAGTCAAGCATTTCCATAGTTACGTCGGTACTGGCTGTGACGGCCGATGCCTGCTGAAGGACCTGGGCGACGACAGGCAAGTATACATCGAATTGAGTCCCGATAGCCTGGGCAATGTCTCCAAAGGTTTCGAGAATCGCGGGCTTAAGCTGATTGGTAGCACTCTGTGATGCGAGGTTAGCCAGTGATTCTTTCTAATTCGGCATCGTCTCATCCTTGATGTCTTACCCTCAAGTTGTTCAGCAGGTAGTTCATAAAAGCATCGCAGTAAGGCTGGACCTTCTCGTTCAAGGCACGGGCGATATCACTGACCAGGCCAATGGCCATGGAGCAGAGGGCTGGCTCTTCCTGGTTGCCGAGAGCGTTGTATAGGAAAGGAGTGAAGGATTCCATGTACTTGACGAACTCCTCCTCCAGAGCGCTGGCGATAGCACCCACAGTGGCAAACACCACGTCAGGAACACTGGATTTGGGGGGAACGGTGGAGAGAACCTGGAGCATGACGTGCATGATGCGGTCCGCCTGGGGCTTGATCTCCGTTTCAAGACGCTGAACAATAGCCTGCCAACAAGTTAGTAATGGAGATCCCGCCGAGGCGCATCGGGAATCCTTACCAGGAGTACACTGGTCAATGAGGTTTGCATCTCCTCGAGGGTGATACGATCCTCGACACTGACAACCTGTTGCTGCATGGGGACGGTCTGCTCCAGACGCTGGATCATAACATCGGACAGTGTCGCGACCAGGGGCAGGCTGTCGTTCGCGGCGTTGGTGACGAACGAGTTGAGCACCTCATATCCAGCGGTGCGGAGCTGGTTGTCGGCATCCTGCCTCTCTGTGAGGGTAAGGAGGGACTTAACACTGTCCTGGAAGTGCTTCGACAGTGGGTTGGTGTGAGCACCGACATCACCGGCGAACCGATCGGCAACGTTCATCAAAGCCCAGCAGCAAGAGCTGGCGATCTTGGGGCTACTAGCAAGACCGTTGAAAAGGCAAGTAATAAGGGGTTGTAGGTGCACGTCAGGGTCAAGGGTCTCGGAGCAGAAGTCACAAACGCGCCCGAGCGCGTAGGCCGTAGAGTCACGGACCTGGATGGAGCTATCCTCCATCATGCTAATCAAAACACTCAGTGCCTGCTTGATCAAAGGCTCCAGAATCTTAGGGTCGGGGCCGTCCATAATAGCGCCAAATGCAGCAACTGCGGCATCACGATGACGCCAATCCTCGTTGCGGATGTTCTCCTCGACGAAGGTCAGGACAGGCTGGATGATATCACCCTGCACGCACTGAGCGTAAAGCTGCAGGGCCTGGTAAGCCGCACGGGAAATGTTGTACTCGTCCTCGGTGGCATCCTCATCTTGTTTGCACATGCATTGCAACAGGACAGGAACAACTTCTCTGCAGGCGACACGGGCAAAGTTGAAGAACGGGCGGATTTCGGTGGCGCCCTCGGCCTGGGCCTAGAAGAAAGAAGTGTCAGTTGTGTTCGGTACAGAGATATGAGCAGGAAAAAACGAACCGCGGCATTGTCATCCTCAATGGCAATTTCCTCCTCGCAAACGGTGCACCAAAACTCAATGGCGAGCTTGGCAACGTCTTCCTCTTCACTCTTCATGCCCATAATGCTCAAGCCAAAGAGAGCCTTCTCCATGTAGAAACGCATCTTATCGTAGTATGAACCCATAATCCGATTCAGGCAACCGAAAGCACCGGCCTGGACACGGAGATCATCGGCCTGCGTGGCCTCGCAGACAACCTGCATGATGTAGTTCCGTTCGCCCTCGTTCTCCATGTTGGAACGCACAAAGTCCACCGAATCACTGAGGGCCTTGATGGCGGCATTGCGAATGTCCATGTTGGGCTCCTCGCGCCGGGCACCCTGGACAACGGCCGTCAAGATGGCATTAGAGTGGGCAGCCAAACTTTCCCGCAGCTCCGGATCTTGCGACTCGCAGATGAAACCAATTGTGATGAGGGAGGCTTGTTTCAGCTGATCGGTGCCGGTTGCAACGCTCTGAACCAGGTGGTTCATCAGCTCTGGCCATTCGTTACGGGGAAGCTCGATGGCGGCGATCGAAACGATGAACTGAGCAGCAGACTGGCCGGCCCTGGCATCCTTGGAAGCGAGAGTCTTGAGCGCCAGCTCCTTGACCTGTGCCTTTACCTCGGGGCTGATCCCCGAAATCCATCGCTCCTGTACCTCCCTTAACTTGGCGAGATCTCTGAAAGTGAAAGCGTTTTTCAAGGCCAGACCGGCGGCGGTTCTGATGTGCGGAGCGGCGCTTTCGTTCGCCAACTCTTGGCCAAGGGTAGTGAGGTAACCGGCCTATAAGAAACAGCAAGGTTGATATTAGCAACTGGGGAGTCGAGTATCAAACGAGAGAGGGGAAAGGATTGGCTGGACATACGAAGTCCACCTCCGCCGCGTGGAGGAGTTGTTGTTCAGCATTTGTACGAGTCGTCGCATCTATTATAGAGTTAAGCAGCCGAAAGTCAGTCTCCGATGCTCGTATGGAATGATATCTAGGTAGAATTCGAAAGAAAGAAAATCTTTCGTATAATACAGAGGGGTAACGGTGGGCAACGTACCTGGCGACAGGGTGCCCTCCAACACTTGAGTGACGTTCATGTTGCCTTAAGCGGAAATCGCACCCAGAATCACAGGGAAATAGAGAAGACGAGGACAGGGAAAGGCGGGGGAAAGAGAAAGATAAGAATCGCTTGTTGACTTGACCCAGGATGGGTTATAAAGAATCGAGAGAAAAGACTTGTCCACAAACAAAAAGGAGTGTTTGGTGTGGACAGTTGAGAGTCAAAGAAGAAGGGGAGGAAAAAATAAACGATGTTGGAGGTTCAGAGCAAAAAGGTTGTTTTTGTGGATATGACGAGGCATGCACCGGGTCGGAGAAGAGACCAGACAGTGGACCAGAAGATGTGGTGAATGCACGCCAGAACAAGGGAGGAAAAGGGAGAAAAGCTATGAACAAAAAAACCCCCCAGGAACCTTTGATGACAGGCAGATGCTTGATGGGTAGTGTAGTCTGTAGTGGGGTGGAGGACGGATAGTTCTGGTAGGCTTTGGGTTTTCTGCGAGTTTTCTGGAGGATATAAGGCTGAGGAGAGAGAAGTGAAGGCAACGGAAAGGCGAGGGAAGAGGATAGAGGGGCAGAAAGCTGATTTCTTCTTTTTTTTTGTCTTCGCCTCTGGGATATTTTCCTTTCTTTTTGATGCCAAATGGTATGGAGACAGATGATGCTGGACCAGTAGACTAAGGCTAAGGATAGATACTTGATCGTACTCTGGACTCTGTACCTACCTTACACCTACAGAGAGATCCAGTGTCGTTACTGGACGCTGAGACGCACTTGGGGCTGCTGCCCGGAGCTGCCGTCAACGCTGTGGCCTACCATTGGGCGGTCGCCGCCCATCCGAGAATGGAGCTGTCACGTGATAGCACATTTACGTCCCTTTCAGCCACCATGACAGACAGCAGCAGCAGCAGCAGTATTAAATAACTGCAGGGGAGGGAACTATCACTTGACTGACAGTACTTTTCATTCTTTTTCACTGTAACGTCTAAAGAAAGAAACTCTTTGTATCCTGTTTTCCGCAGGTCTACCAGGTAGGCCTAAAAGTCACTTTCGTCATTACCGTACTTTACTCTTCTACCTTACTACCTCAGGTACTTACGTATTGTGGCTTGCCCCTCCCTATTACATAACCACTGCTGAAGAGTAAACACAAGGGGGGGAAGAATTCTTCCTTTGCTTGTTTTCATTTTGCTGCGTTGGAGGATCATTTTCCACAGTGGTTGCGTTGGCCCGGGCGACCGCTTCCCCCGTCGGGGTGTCAACCCCAATCAGCGCACAAATCCACACACTAGTTGGACTTAGGACTGAAGATTCTGTATGGATTGGTTTGGGATTTTGAAAGAGATCCACTGGTTGATGGGGCTGAGAAGATTTTGGATTGTTTCGAGAAGGAAGAAATTCAAACTCTGACTGTGGAGAGGTACACACTGGACGAAACAGAACAACAGTGATTGTAAGAAGAAAGAAAGTATTGAATATGATAGATAGGTTGGGAGTATCGCATTTCTCCCTACTCGCAATCATATCGAGTATTTCGATGGATCATAGAATGTAGAATTTAAATCAGTACGACCTGATGGCCACTGATGTAACCAGGAATGCGTATGCGTCTCACGGTGAAACCATCCCTCATACTCTGTGGATTAACTAGTATGAAACATGAATTTGAATGGCCTTCTTCATGACAGAACAGCCTTGCGAAGCTCTCATTAAGTCATGATTATGCTATCTATTCACTGTCCTCATCCTCATCAGCCATTTCAGCATCCATGTCCAGGACTTCATACCGCAACCCATCGCCGTACAAGACGCAGATCGCCCGGCGACCTTTTCGTCCATTGACGTCGAACCGCAAGGGTCTGGCCTTCTGACCGGACGGAGAAAAGGCATGCTTGATGAGGCTCGCGTGCGTGGAATGCGGCGATAACAAGTCCAGTGTCGTAGCATCTATTGTGGGTTGAGGTGAGGTAGAGTCAAGCAGCTTGTCGCTGTAGGTGATGAAGAAAGGAGATGGCGAGCTGAAGGCTCCTTCGTTATCGAACGTGGATGCGGGCTGAAACGGGATGTTCAGCAGATAGGCAGATCCTTCTACTCATTCCAAGGGCAGTTAGCAGCTGGCGAAATAGGCGTGCGAGGTTCATACATACTGTCATTCGACCAAAGGAGCATCATGGTATCGTCCTGCACGAATTGAATCTGGCGAATTTCTCCTTCCTGCAGATTCAGTGCTCCTATGCAGATTTGCCGGGTAGAACTGACTCCATTCTCGGAGTCTGACACAACACGGTAGATGTAGACTAGGAGCACAAGGGTAAGCATTCATCAAGCTGATTGGAAGGGACAAACTTACGTAGATGATGTGACTTGATTGATCTCACGGCGATATAGATAACACTAACCGTCCCATCTTCACTATTCTAGTGTTGATCCAGTTAGCAGTAACGCATCTAGTCGAATCAATACCCTTACCTCGGAGCACATTGTGATATCAATAACCTCCTGATCGGCATCCGGATGAAGAGCAAGAGGTGAACGGTGCAAGATGCCTCTGCGTTGTGTTATCGCTATTTGCCGAAAGACCTTTTCAAACTGTAGTCCTAAGCGCTTTGTCAAGTCATTCATCTTGGGAAGCTCCGGAGGGTTCGCATTGTTTTGGCCCTGATTCAGCTGTTCAAGAAGCTTTTTGAATGTGTCGTAAAAGGGCCGGTCATCTGCAGCCGTCCACTTGTCTGATGTAGCAGAAGGCTTAGCAACAGGCACTCCCATCATGGGAAGCTGCTGGATAAAGTGCTGGAGTGTGCTCTTGGTTAGCGCGCCTCTAATGTATTTCAGAGTCTGTGGATAATCTATCATGTCTGTCTTCTCCATAAGTTCATCCAGAGTTTGTGACATGGGCTCCGCAGTCTGCATATCAATTTCATGTCGAAGCCACTGGGAGAAGGCGATGAACTGAGCCAGTTCCTCGTTAGCATTGATAAGGATCTGGTGACAAAGGAGATGAAGACAATCAAGCGTCTCGACACTCGCATTGAGGTCGTTGGTTTCTAAGCCCAGCACTTCGCTGAGTTTCTGGAATCGAGATAGGCCGATAAGTCGACTAAGCAGCACTTCGCATCGCTCAAGTGCGGGCAGTAGACACTCGTGCGTCAGGCGTCGGACATTCTCATAGCCGCTTGAGACAGCCTTTTCCCAACGTTTATGTCCCTGTTTCATTGTCAGCTGCGTTTCGGAATAAAGCACAGGAAGGTGTATACCCTTTCGCCGACAATATCTACCAGAAATTCCTTCAGTGGCTCGAAGCAATCGCCCGTCACCACCAGATGGTAAGCGGCCGTGACAAAGTCACAATGGCATTTATCCTTCAGATCCTCATTGATACTGCGCATGTATCGTGCAGGCAACTCCTGCGCATTCTTCCACTCAAGCTCAATCTGCCTCTGGACCTGGCCGATATAACGGAGCAAATTCTGTAACTGGGTGGTTTTGTAGGCCAGAAGCGACAGATACCGACCCGATCTAGTGATAAAGCGAAGATCAATAGTGAGTAGATGCAGTCCACCAGAAGAGCCAGGAGTCGACGCGGACGCCAGCAACGCATGCGTTGAGCTCAATGGATGCGACGCATGCTGGAGTATTCTGCAAGCAGACGAACCGCCGTCCGATATCCCGATCTTAAACGAGCCAATTTCGAAGCAGTCAAAGATACGCAGATGGACAGTCCCATCATCAAACCCAACCAGCAGCACATCAACCGCATCATTACTGTTTTTCGAGGACGAGTGGAAAATCGCATCGATTGACGCTCGAGAGCTAAACACGTCATCACTAGCAAGCAGTCAACCACAATGAACCCGAAACCATCTAGCAAAATACTCACTCGCTTCCCGTCGCAGGCAACGTACTCAATTTCGGCAAGGAGCTCTCGATATCCAGCAATGCCAACTCCCGCGGCAAATCAGCCTTGAGCAGCGCCGCCGCCTTGGACGGCTGGGTATCTGGCGACAGCAGATCCGAGACGGTGAGCTGCCCCGCAGCCTCCTGCAGATGGCGCTGCGCAGCTTTACTATCTGTAAAGTTGACGCCCCAGCCCAGACAGGTGATGCTGACGGGCTGAGCGTGAGCGCCCGGCTGATCCGCAGGGTAATGGTGCACCGTTTTACCACTGTACGCGCTGATCAACCGGACGGTGTCATCTGCGCAAGCAACCGCCAGTAAATTTCCTGCGCCTTGTCAGCAAAATATCGCATGGTTCAAGTAACAAGAGACAATGACCATTATCCTTCCACCTCACCGCTCGGATCTCCCCGTCTGCTTCGTCCTCGCCCAGGTACGGATCTCCCTTGAATGACCCCCCGAAGACCTTCTGCCCGTTCAGCCGGAAAACGCGTAACTCTTCATCCTCTGTGACTAGGGCGATCAGGTCCATCGTGGGACAGTAGGTCAGCGTGCTTGCCTTGCATTTTGCCGGCAGTGACTTTTCGCCCACGGGCGTGAGCTGTGGCTTGAAGACCTCTTCAGCCATGGTTATAGTTTATTTTAATCCATCCTCTGATAACACAGAACAATTGAGTTAGGCGGAATGAGTAGGTTCTTAGTGACTATGTCAAGGTTGTTCCTGTAGTTGTTGGAGGGATGCTGGAGTGGGTATTTTACCGACGATGCTTGGCACGCGTTTGTCGCGTTGCTTTGCACTTCAGCCAGGGAACTGGTAACTCAACATATACCTCTTATCTCATCGGACTGAAGCAAGTATGGTCATTTAGCTCAGAAGAGAAGCGAGAACAAGAAGCCTGTGGTCAATCACTCATAGTACGGCGTATCAGATAATCTACAAAGTGTTTCAAAATTCTGCGTCAACGTCTAGACGAACAATATATTTCTTCCAACCAACTTAGGTTCTGACCTGTCTAGGTAGGCACTGTGTACATTCTATTATATTCGGAATTTTGTATTTTAAAATCGTCCATTAGAATATATTTTTCCCTGCATATAAAAATTGCCAATTGCTACAATGCCTGCATTGTTCACATTAAAACCACCGATATTCTATTCCTTGGCAGTACCAGACTGGATCACGTTCCGTAGATAGGCCAATTCGTCCAACATATCCAGCATAGACGTAGAAGCACGACTAAGGCGATTGGATACGTCCCGGTTGTCAGTAAGAGAAGCCGTGTCGTTTTTGACATGATCCGGAAACTCGGTGGTGGACGCGTCGGGACTTTTCACCAGACCCAGCGTCTCGAAAGCATTCATGGCACCGAAGAAAGCTGCATGTCTTTTGGGGTCTCTCTCCACGTTGTACATGTCTTCAATACCGAGACCTGCCATGTCAAGGTCAGACGGAGACAATGACACCGTCAAGCGGGGGAGAGGAAGGTTGAAGTGAGGTGAATCGCCCGCGATGGAGGTCGCGGGTGACGACTTCGAATTCACTGTCAGGTGAGGAGTGTTTGGATCGCTCGTGTCCGAGGCTAAGGAGGGTACAATCTGGTCTGAAAATTCCGCGTCGCCGGGATTGCGGGACAGCTGGTTTTCGTTGTTGAAAGTGGAAGAGGAGGTCATGGACTCGGGAGAGATTATCTCTGTATCTGTACTCCATTCCGAAAAGTGACTTCTCTCGCAGTAGGAGCTGCCGACAACGGAGCCTTCCGTTTCAGTGAAGTCAGAAAAGCGACTTCCTAGGTTCTCGGTATCGAGTTCCCTCTCGCGGGCGTCGATATCACGCAGGGCTTCATCCATCACCGACGAGGGCGAGTTGGGTAACGTAGGAAGCCGCTTTTCTTTGTATGTGAATGGCGTAGGCGTCGTAGTATCGGGAATGGTGGCCGTCCTCAAGAATGACGGCGACTCTAAGGCTGCTAGCAGCTCTGCAGCCATATATGAAAAAGTTTTTGACGAACACTCTTCGCTCGCGCTCGTATTGTCGGGCTGCGTCTCAAGAGTTAGAGGACTCTTACACGACAAGTGCTCCATGGATTTTGTGTTCAATGCACGACGATCCTGAATGGACATTGTCAGAGGGGTTTCATGGTCCGCAGACACAGGTCGGCGGAAGAAAAGGCCTTCTGGGTGAAGGGAGTGCTCGTCATGCTTGGCGGCCGAGGCCGTATTGAAGCCATGGCAAAATTGCTCTGGAAAGTCAAAGCGGCCTTTTCCACTACTACCGGTGCGGCATACCCCAGAGGCATCTTCGACTTTCGTATTAAGCTCCCCGTCGGAGTGGTGCGTGTTGCTGAGGTCGGGAGATGAAGCATTCAGATACCGGATTGCAGCCCGAAGGCCTCTCGATCTGGGGGGTGACACCGAGCGAGCAGCCTTGGAGCTAGAACTTCGGGGTGTTTTGTTTACTGAGCTGCTTGGCTGGGAAGTCGCTCTATTGGTCAATGCTCCCAGAGGAGATGTATTGAAGGACCAAGCCGGGGTTGGCGCCTGAAGTAGTGGCGGGGATGTACGGAGACGGGGAAGCTTTGGCTTTGGCGGCCGCCGTGGGTTCATGTACTTGTCCTCTGGGTTCATGGTCCGTACATCAGGCTTCCTGGAGCTGGAACTGTCTTGAAAGGTATGTGTAGGCCGTGTGTCTGGAAGGATGACGGGGACCTGGAGCACATTGAGCGGCTGACCAGGAAGAAACGGGCAAAGCGACGTCACTGGTTCCGCTTCGTTATAATACTCGACATCGTTGTCCAACAAGTACTAGTTAGGACGTCAGTCTCGAGTCATGACTAACAGGTGGAAGTACCCACATAATACCAATAAGTACCACCCATCTTGAGTCCACCAGACCGCGCTGGGGTCTGATGAGTGGGAGTGCCGTCACAAACTATGTCCGTGAATGTGTGACATCCTCTCCAATGGCCTGGACCAACACGGCGATCCCTTTCCATGGCATATGGTTTCGAGAAGTTATCCCATGACCCGAGCAGCTTGACGGACTTGACATTGGGACTGGTAGTACTGTGTGGAGTGTCAATTCAGGTTCAAGCGGACTGTTTGAGGGGAACTTACAGCAAGAAGGTCATCAATGTTGTTGAAGACATGATCGCAATTGATATCGCTATAGCCGAATAAACAAACACAAGTAGAGAAACGCTGAAGATATATGCCGGACTGCTTGACGCTGAATTGCAAGTTCAATGAAGGAAAAGTCCCAAGTATTCCAGGCGATCCGAGGATCATATATAGTCGAAGAGAATGAAAGACTGTCCGTTGTCTAGGACCAGCCCAGACAGCGCAAGTTGGTGAAGGCGAACTGAACGAAAGAAAAACGCCTCGACGTTTCGAATCTCGCCGGTTGTCCGTTTGCTTCTTATGAGATCCAAGAGGTCGGTATCAGGGGCCGACTGCGCCGTCGAATTGACAGAATTTAGACCGAATGCGAAGCTATTAATGGTACCTGACAGACAAGCTCGGCTGTGACGCTTTGTAGCTGGCGTCTCAGTAGCCGCGACGACCACAATGACGGAAATTGGATGTTCCTGGGCGACAGAGAACGGAGCGACGAGCGCCAATGGGCTTGACGATGCGAAGCGCCAGCGAAAGGGATCGACGAAACGGCGACAGTATATCAGCGCTTACGGCAGTTGTTGTGGTTTCAGGTCGAGGGGAAAAATTGTTTTGAGTGCTTAAGAATCTTCAACAGAAACCAAAGAAGAGAATCAAAAATTGACCGTTGTGATGGGACGGCCATCAATAGAAGGTAAAATAGATGACGTGAGGAATAATAACCATCAAAACTTGAGCCATCATCGTAAACAATCAACAGACAAGAAAAATGCACCTTGATTATAAGCTAGGATCCACTGGCTGCTGCGAGAACCACGTCACAGCCCTGTAGGCCGATATCTGCAGGGGGGAAAGGAAACCGAGCGTCGAATCTTGAAGAGGGAGAAAAGGATTGGAGAGATGAGAGAAACTACTCAGACTAGTGAAAAATGGCGACCACAGGGCAATGATAACTTAATTACCTTAAGAGGCTGGCTTTCAATATTCGGTCATCGGCCGAGCGAGACCGACAGAGTTCAGCTGAAAGTAAAGCCCTTTGTTGAGTCCAATAATAGGCTGCTAGGACTATGGTCTCACGTATAACGCCATTATTACATAGGACTCCGTATTAGTTATCCCAATTCTGATGACTGATAACCCTCCTTTGAATGCGATCAGCAGTAGAGCCACAACAATGCAGTCAGCCAGCCATGTGGTTGACCGAATAGTGGAGATTATGAACATCGTCAGCTCAAGCCTGCTACTCCTGTACTGCTAAAAGCCACTACCCTAGCCTAGCACAGGAAATCAACCCTTAATAACCATTAGACTGCGTTACTATCGTTGAGCAGACCAGTCAACTTCACAAAATGATCAATAACATACGATCCACGTGAAAAACCATGTGTGCTCTTTACTGTAGATATCGATCTATGGTCCTCCATACTCCATCCGATGAGCCAAACCTTGGCAAAATACGTACTCCATACCATATTACCAGGGGCACATGCCTACCTGAAGGACTCGACGTAGACACAATCATTCTCCAAGCATAATCCAAGACGAACAAAAAGACTCGTCACTGCGATCTAGTCTACCACAAAGTCAAGTGAACTAGACTAGGTTTTGTCCGCGATGTCTCACTGGCCAGTCCTGATGGATCAATCCCAACGCTATCCGGATTACGGACCGACTCTAGACTGCTTAGCTAGTTAACGCATGTTTCACCGATCCTTAAACAGACCAGATAGACTAATGAGACAGCAGACATCCAGATCCAGATCCAAACTGACCAGTCGGATTCCCCGCACACACTGAAATCCTCCTGGCGCTTACGGCCATGCAGGTACGCTCTTAGTGTGCTTCGGTGCTGGGCAACAGATTGAGGCAGATTCGGACACGTCAGAAACAGCCGACCACGGCGGTTCCGACAATTATGTTTCTGTCCACCCTGCGGAGGATTGATATCACGTGCGATTTTACAAGTCGCTTATGTATGTCCGAAGGTTGTGAGTTGAAGGAATATCGTGATCTTGATTCCCATGGATCGTCTTCAATAGTCCAGAGACGGCGGATGGGTCCCGCTCTCTAGTGGTGGCTGAATGGACTCAACCAAAACCTCGAGCAATACGAGTACGGAAGATTCTTCCTTTTGCCTTATTCCATATGTGTTCAGATGTACACCAACTTGGTTTGATTACTTTGCCAGTTCAATATGAACAGGATCCTGCTCATCTTCGAACAGCCTGGCGCTTACTCCGGCGCGTTTCAGTCTACTCCCTTCACATGTGAGGGATGAGCTTGTCTGGGATGATTACCCTACCTGTCAGCCCGTTGGCTCTCTTGGAATGTCCTGGCCAAAATAAACGGCAAAATCTGCCTGCTTCATTCACGCGTCTAGCAGAGGTAGAGGTATTAGATAGGTGCGCCAAGTCCAAGCTGGAAACACAATAGCCGCCCTCAAGCTGAATAACATAACAAAGCAAAGAGCCACCACGTAGCAATCTCGTCAAACAAGAAAACACAACTGGCTAAAACGCCTTCCGCTTATCGTATTTCTTATGCACAGCACCCATCGTGCACTTGAGGATACCCTCCGCACTCAGCGTCTGCCCGCGGCTCCCCTTCCACGGCACCGTATCAACAATATCCCTCAGATTGACCTCCTGAGCCATTTTCCCCAGCTCATCATCCAGATCCTCCAGATATCGCCTCGCCCCCTCATCGTCCCCAATCTGAAAGAACTGGACACCCACCTGCCACGGCACAGCGCGACACGCATCCAACCGCTTCGCAACCTCCAAAATCACACTCTCCGCATCATCCGTAAACACCCCATCCGTAATCGCAATGATATTCAACGGCTTCACAAACCTCGCCGGATCGCGCAGGTTCCCATCCTCATCCGTCGCGGCCGCCATCTTCTCCACGCGCCGCAGGTACGGTGTCAGGATCTGCAGCAGCCGTTTTCCGTAGGGCGTTGGCCCGCGCGGCCGCACGCTGTTGAAGATCTCCTGCACGTCTGCCGCGGTGGTGATGTTGTGGTATGCACCTGTGGAAGTGGCGGTCGCCTCGCGGCGGTGGTTGAGGAAGTAGATGTCGATTCCGTCTTGGTCGTACCGCGTGCAGATGGGCGCGATGGCCGCCAGGGCCTCCTCGGCCTCCTTCCAGCGTGCCCCGAGCATGCTGGAGCTGTCGTCGACGACGAAGATGGTGTCGAACTCGCGGAGGAAGGCGTAGGGTGAGTCGCCTGTGCTGCTGGTGAAGGAGGCTGTCGAGCCGGGGGTATGTGCGGCTGGTGCTGATGCTTGTGGGGTGTAGGGAGGTGGAGACCAGACGTCGACGTTGCGGGTTTGCACGTAGGTGTTTCCCTTGTGGGGGGTTGACTGGGTTCCTTGGTAGGTGGTCATTCTTGAGGTTGAGGTGCTTGAGCTGCCTGATACGCGGGAGTGACGATGGCCCATTGTGAGTTCTGGATTGTCGTTGATAGTATACGCGGGTGGTTGCTGGTGTTGTAAAGATTCCGGCGCGAGAGATTCAACAGGAGAATGAGGAAGGGGAGGAGATCGAGACTTGAATCTTCCAAAGAGAAGCGGCATTGAGATGGGGTTCTGGATGATGCTGGTGGTATGCAATCGGCCCACAAAGGAGGGAAAGTATGATGCCGTTTCCTTGGTTGTGAATGAAGTCAGGACTCACTGAACAGGCAGTCTCAACCACAGTTCTATGGGCCTGTCAACTAATGATCTCATTGTTCATTCTCTTGCATAGGTGCGAATACTAGTTTCTTATATCTACTCATGACCCTTACTATCACGAACAATGAAGGCATATACAAGGCAGACTAAGACTATTCTATCGTTATATTCCCACAAAGAAAACTATCTGTGCGCCAGGCTAGAAAAGGCTGAGCTTAAAGAGTCATGATCTAGGATCAAGACTTAAAGGTAATACGAGGGCTAAACCCCGAATGCAGGGACCAACATATGAACTACTAGCCAAGTCAGATAAAGGACGTGCCAAAATACAATGAGGCTGAGTCGCGTAGTCAATTATTATGACTTAGTCACATAACCCTTGCTCCCGTTTATGGAGTGCAGCAGGTAAGCCTTGCAGCACTGCCCCCCGCAACCGTAGTTAGGCAAGGCTGTGTAGCTGCCTCAGGAACAAATGAAACCAGAGCGTGCAGCCCACCAGAAGGCTCGATCTAAGCTTTATGAGAGATGGACGAGGTGTATTATGTATATGAATGTGTCATTTACATCATGTACAGCATAAATCATCTGATAAGGCGCCTGACGAGATACACGTCCGTCCATCCAATACGCCAGATCGCCCAGACTATACACCCAGGTTCAATCAAATCACCCTCATAAAGGAAGCAGTCATTTAGCCGCCAAATGCTTCCAAGCACTTGCCAAAACCTTGTTCTTCACAATGGCGGAGCTCTTCTCCTCTATGAGCACTCCGTCATCGCCCACGCCGTCAAAGACCCCCGCTTCGGTTTCTAGAACATCAATCAAAGCAAGGGCCTGATCGATCCCCATACCGTGCCCGATGAGCCGCAGACAGTCAATGCCCCACTTGCGCACAGGGTGGTTCTTTCCCTCGGTTGCACCGGCCATGACCAGCGGCCACAGTAGCACGAGCCCTGCGGTGTGACTCTCATTGAGGGGGACAGAGCTTGTCTGACTCTCACCTGTGCTGCCAACGCCGAAATGGTAGGGTACGCTGGCGCAGATGTCAGCAGCCAACTGCCGCGTACTGCTGCGGATCCTGACGCAGTGACTTTGCAGTTCGCTGGCAGCGCGTGCGCCCGGTGACTTGCTGTGCAGTCGTCGCAGACAGCTCAGTATCATCTCGGAGACGATGATGCGCGCGCAACGATACTGGTTCCATGTATGGCAGATCCAGAGATCGCTGTAGACGTGGTATTGATTGTTGTATGGGAGTATGCCGCGACAGAGTCTCTTGAACTCTGCGTCGGAGTACGTATTCTCGACGGTGGTGTACGAAAAGTCCGGCGGAAGAGATGCAATCCAGGCTAGCAATTCTGCTTCGATGTCGTAGGCTGCTGTTAGAATCTCTTGATTATCCGTCATGTACTTCTGTCTGACATCGGCACGGAGGTTGGCCAATTGGCCTAGGACGTATATCAGGCGATCACCGTAAGCCTCTGTCTGTGGGCGGAGAAACATGCCAAGTGGTGCACATTCGAGCACCGATGGCGGCACGTGTACGCTGAGCTGTAAGCAGCTCGTAATCTGCGAGTGTCAGCTGTCATCTGAAGAAAGAAGGGTCAAGCTGCAGGAGCCAGCGAAGCACGTACTATCTGAAATCGCAGCTGGACGAACAGCTTCAGACCCTCCTCATTCTGTACTTGTTCTGGACCGCGCAGTTCAAGAATCGCTGCGGCGCCGCGAAGATGATTCGTCCACTTTTCAATATTTTGTGTTGTCCGGCTGGTAACGACCTGGACAATGTCTGAGCAATGCATGAGCAGAAAAACGAGGCTATAAAGGCAGCTCACCTCAAAAATGGCCAGCATCAAGACCGCCCCCAGTGTCGAATTGGCTTTCACCTCTGCAGGATTTGAGACAGCGAATGCTAACATTTGCAAAGCGAACCCATATTCCGCTCCAGCAGCGATAACCATCGACATGTCTTGTCGGACCCGTCCAAGCATCGCCGTCCCCACAGCACCGACACTCGCTTTCATAGCCTCGTGGCTCACAGAAAAGCCCGAGCTGGCAAGAAATTCGGGACTCAGGTCTATCATCCAGTGAAACCCAGGCCACCTGTTATACCGAAGGAAGTAACAAACCGCCTCATCCTGCGTGGTCTGGTACGACGGCTGGGTCCTCGTCAGCGGCTGCCGCTCAATCAGCTCAGTCTGCACCGGGCTCTCGTCGCCGAAGTCAACAACATCGCTACCCCGGCTGACCGAGACCGTCGTCGCACCGGATGTGGACTCGGGACTACTCTCACTCGACGAAAGGGTGCGCCTGGCCGCCTTTCTCGCCTGTGTTTTGGACTTGCGCGCGGCAGCACTATTCCGGGCCTTCCGGACAACCTGCTGACTTTCATCGCGGAACATCAACGACAGTTCGTCTCGGTAGCCGGGGCAGACCCTGTTGCCTTTGAGACATTGCGAACAAGCAGGCCGTTCCTGGTCGCACCGGATCTTCCTCGTTCGGCATTGGCCGCATCCTTTGCTGGGTTTCCCACAGAAGACCATAGTGAACCAATAGTTTGCTGTTTTATTCGGTCGCACAGGTACTCCGTACAGTTCGTGGATGCAGAAAACCCGTTCCTGAATAAGTAAGCTGTGCGAGCAAGTGGTACCACCGGGCGGGCACAGCGGAGAAGGCCGGTCACGGTGTATGGTCTGAACCCTCCCGAGTGCTAGGATAAAGATATCGCGGCTGTTGAGAATAAATTATCGAGATGGAAGATCGTGCTCACTACTACCATGAACCACGATAGGATTGAGATGCTTCAAGAGGTGGGATCCCCGTCATGGTCGGTTCGGTTCCTGAAACTTCAGGAGAGACCATGAGTGCACGACCCCACACGACCCCATCTGGCTAAGTTGTGGGGTTAAACTTAAAGTTCGGCGGTTTCCCGAGGTTATCACTTATTATCACGACCGTGACTCTGTTTTCGACTTTCAGGTTAACTGTCTTCAGGACCTTACGGGGTTACAATTGTCAGACTACATGAAGGCCGATCCATCATCCAAGTAAGGAGTAGCCTGCGCGGGGTAACCATGAACTTGCCTGAGGTCTGTTTGGCCAAGAAAGTCCATGCTCTATATAATGATTTCTCGTCAATCATGTATCTCCTCGAAGCCTCGAAAAACTCCCTTCATGTGGCTCTAAGGCTGAGCTCAAAACATCCAAGCGCAAACATATGTCACTCCCATCACTATGATCCCGAGGCAGCAAGCCGGTACTCCTCGGGAATGTCCACAGGCCACTTATCTACGCCGTCCAATATTGCCAGCGCCATACCACCGCTCAGATGGACTTGAATGTGACAATGGATCAAGAACGCGCCAGGATTCACGACTTGATATCTTATTGCCAACCAAGTGGGGCCAGATACACTGGGAGGCGTCGCGAATGAGTCCCGTATCTGCGGGGCCTTAAAGTTGAAGCTTTTCGGAATGTATTTCCTAGCCTCAGCCACTGAGGTATAATTGAAGACGCCGTTCCCTTGACCAATGACGAAGAACTTGTTCGAGTGCTTGTGAAAAGGGTGTGGTGGCTGTAAAGGGCCGGTGACTCTGAAGATGAGATCGACCCAGGTTCCGTTACGTGTTGAAATCGAAAGATGGGGCTTGGCGGCGGAGCGATTGAACAGAAGTGGAGGCGATTCCTCCATGGAGAGCGGGAAGCCCGAGTTTCCAAGAATCCAGCGGTAGGACGCGTTGAACCGGGCGACATCTAGGAAGAAGGTCTGGGCAACCTCTTGCGCCGGTACCTCCACAGGGAAAGGGGTCACCATGCTCTCGTCGAATATCACGACGTCCGCTGTTGTGTTTGCGCCGGTGATGTCGATTGATGGCTGCGAAGGACGTGATTGAGCCTTGAAAGGCGTGTCGTAAGATATGCTCGCATTGGCAGTAATAAGTTGGTTGATTCCGGCGTTCGCTACACGCACGGTGTAGTCACCAGCCGGTTTATCCAGCTTCACCATGACCGAATAACGGTTTCCGTTGGCAATGGTGATGGCATCCACTCGAACCGGGACGATATATCTTCCATCGACGGCGTATATATACATGGGATGTTCGTCGACTGAGAAAGTGAGCATTGACACACTAGCAGCACTAATCAAGTCAAAACTGGCGTACGAAGCGTGTGGATCCACCAGGAGTAGCTCCGTCGAGCCCTGAGACGGAGTACAGCCAGAAAACAGTGTCGGTGGCGTGGCACTAAAGTTGTGTGGAAAGTCTCCTTCGAGCAGAGGAATCGTCGGAGGCGCGCAGCTGGGAGAGTCAGCTTCAAATCGATAAATCGAATTGCCGTGTTTCTCTCACTCTTACCCAATATCAGTCAGCGAAGAGTTTCCCAGAAATGCCCACTTTGCCGCACTATACCAATCCAACGTATTGCGGTCTAGACACTGTACGGAGCCCCTTCCATTGACTAATAACGCATTCACACAGTATGCGTCTAGTCCAGTTGCCTCTTCCGCATGCCACAGCTCCTCAGACGTCAACTGGCGCCAGTCACTCAGCACTATGGGGACTGTTCTTTCTTCGGCTCGACGCATGGCCTTGACTTCGCGCGTACGATTACTTATCAACCGAAAGGGCTTCTCCACTTCGTCATCAGGACGGATATAGATCGCTCCGTGTAAGCCATCATCAATCTGCCCTCTGCTGTGAGCGTGATACATATAGCTGCCATACTGTCCTGCATTCCACATGTATAGAAAACTGCTGCCGGACGGGATTGGTCTTTGCGAAAGACCAGGAACTCCATCGGACCAAGGCGTTCCCATTTGGTCAATGCCTGATTAGGTGAGGTGTCAGCCTTGACTAGCAATTGTTGTCATTGAATAGGCTTACCGTGGAAATGGACTGCGGTAGCAAAGGGAAGTTGATTATCCACCAAAAACTCGACATCATCGCCTTGTCGCACGTACAATGGCGGAGCTGGAAATTGGCCATTGGTGAGAATCATTTTCCGAGCAATACCAGCTGGAGCCCAGTCCTCCCATGTCAGAGTGATTTTGAAGCGCACCACACTAGCTGATCCCCATGAAACAAAACATAACAGAAGCAGGGCCAAGGAAGCCAGTCCATCGCGAAAGGAGCCCATGTCGACTGAGCAGATGTCAACTCAGCGCAAATGCAACGACGTGGTACCCAATGCAACAGCGGGAATCCATTGCTTTATAACCTCCGAAGAGGCTTACCAGGCTGCAGTGCGCCCGCTTCATCTTTGAACAAGTGGCATGGCTGGCTGACAAAAATTCCGATTTGTGCAGTGTGACCTCGTCCAGACGCAACTATGCAACAAGATGCACTCCAGTCCATTCATTAGCTACACAATTCCACTAGCTAAATGAGCCTCCTCAGCTCAGCAATACTGTGCAAACCGGATCGCCGGGTCTGTGGCTGATCGATTATCGAATCACACATCTATATTGAGTGATAGTTTCTATTAAGTGAGATATCCGTCGAACCACTTCGACCCACGGCATTGTCGGTGTAGTTCGATTCTCGCTCTGTTGTCCGTATCACAGCGGCGTGCGGGCACATGGTTCGCCAGGTCAGCCAAATCAGCCTTTCTGGAATCAATAGATCCGCAATCGGGCTGCATAAACACTGCCCTGCAAATCAGTAGACTATCCCAGTGTAGGATGCAAGCATGCAGATCCTTGATACCATAGCGCAACTAGTGATTGCCGAGAAGCTTAGACGGTTAGACGCTCACGGATAAGTTGAGGCATCGGTAGTTGGTGCGGTCGTACGGATGTATGTGGTCTTACGGGCAGGGCAGTCTTAGAGAGCACAAAGGAAATTCAGAACAGTCAGTGAGGTAGAAATCAAACAACACTGATATTTTGTTGACATTTTAGCAATAAGTGGACACAGTTTGGGGTGATGAGCTTGAGTTGTTATGGTTGAGAAAAGGGCGGGTTGCAGTTCGGCAAGCTCTCGGGAAATGTTCGACAAGATCTCGGAAGTTACGGAAGCTGTAGGGTAAAAGTCGAGACCACCGAGAAAAAAAGGCCGGCCCGCTCCGTCAGGCAGATCTGGTTCGAAGTTCGGATCTATACTTGGCTCTGGTCCTTAGGGCCAAGTGAATACAGAAGTTAAGGGTATTACTTGCTACAAGAGCTCATAGGTTCGGCGAATGTATGGGATGGTCACACAAGCCTACAGATTCCAACCTACCTTATGTCCGCTCAAAAATCCCCTTAAGACGACAGGTCAGGAAAGAGTAGAAATGTTCGCATAGCATTTGGATTAACTCAATATCCTTAAAGGACGGCGAAATACAGGCCCCCATGCATGGTACAGCCCTGATATTGACGAAGGACTTTCGAAAGGGCTATCCGAACTGATTCAGGACCTTCAGCGGCACAGCTCAAGCGTTCGCGACATCGTCAAAGTCTTGCGACATGCCGATGAGGAGAAACACCCAAGCTACGTGCTAGAAACGATCATCCATCCCCGCTCTGTCTTTGGTTTCTGGTTTTTACCCTCATATGGTTTACCAGGGACAAACTCAGGCGCGTCCCCACGAAGCTTCGAGGTTGGAGTCGATGCGGCGAACATCACATCCTTGGGACTCTTTCCCTCTGAGGACGGCGAGTATATCTCTGGAGGTGGCGAATCCGTGAAGCTTGGGTGAGGCGTGAAACGAGGTGGTTCGAATTCCTAGCGTTCGACAACATGTCAGTATCCAAAGGAGTGGAATAATCGGTTGAAGGAGCGAGCCAATAAGTTTGATCAAGCTTACCAGTCGTCCGCTTGCCCTGCGAATGTCATGCAGAATCATCTTGTACTGGTCAACTTGCTCCCTCATCCGCTGCGCAAGAATAGGAGGAGTAGTCATCATTGCTTGAGTTGGATTCATGGCAGGATGGGGCCCCATGAAAGGCTCTTGCTGCGCATAACCAGGAGGGGGACTATTGATCATTGCATGAGCCGGATTCATGACGGGACGCCCGGTCATGACAGGTCTTGGTTGCGCATACACAGCAGGGGGAGTGGCCATCATTGTGTTGGGCGGGATCATGGTGGGCCGGCCGGTATTGACCAGTCCCGGGAGGCCTGGAATCCAGGTGTGCACAGGTTGATGATGCTGATAAGGCAGAGGCTGGTCATTGAACGCGTTGATTCGGTGTCTGGGGACTGGTGCTTGCGCGAGCTCAGGAGGAATGAAGGGAACTCTCGGGTCTCTAGAGAAGCGTTCTGCGTCTTGCACGGGGACGGGTGGGAATCGCTCAATGGTGCGGCCACTCATTTGGTCTGGAAAATTGACCGTGTTGGTCGTGTTGCCGAAGTTGTTTGGCTGCCACTCGGCCAAGATTAGCGGCTCGAAACACAAGAGACTGTCATAGCAGGATTGTTTCGATGGTGCTCAGAAGAGACTCGAAAAGACAGACTTACCCGGTAGCGCTGATTCCTATGTTCCTTCCGCATGATGCTTGTTACCGAGAATACTGAAGGATAAAGTTCAGGACGAGTTGAAGCAGCAAGAGTAGGAAGTTGGGAAGTTGTGGGTGGTCATCACTTTAGTATTGGGTAAGAAGAGGGCGACGTGAAGGATCTGTTGCACTCTGACAGTCAATGGCCATTCACAATATGTTGAATGCCTTTGGCTAGCAGGGCATTATGCAAAGCCGCTTGAATGAACAAATAAGCTAAGCATAACAATTCTTTGTGGTTCTGTCTGCAAGTTTATCCTCCAGGAAAGACAAGCCGCTACGAAGCTGAGGCTCTTTGTCCTTTGTACCATCAGAGTCACCTCCTTCTGTCTCGTTGTGTGAGGACCACTTTCACTGCCAAATGCTGATGCCTCTAGTGGGCATCAGTTCGATTCGTCTGTGGAAACACTTTGAGAACAGTTTAGAAGCTCAACTACTGCACTCATTGAGCGGAAGATGAGACAGACATTTACTCATGACCAGTTCTTTTGTAGGGCTACGCCCCATTTTTCTCAATTTTCTAGTGTTTTTGCGGCTTTTCTAACTCATCATTAAGAGCAAAAAGGAAAACAAGACATGGGCTGCAGTGTTCACTCGGACAGAAGCCTTTTTTTTGTGATTTTTGTTTTTTGCCCAGTTGAAACATTAAAGAAGCAGACAAGCAGAAGGAGCAACTGAAACGACCAACGAAAAGGAAAACATCATATGCTGCCTGAGTTAGGGTTTGAATGAAGGTCAACAAAGAGATAAGAAACGCGTGGATCGACTCAACGATGACCGAGGCCAGGGTATCAAAAACGCAAGACAGCAAAAATGTCATTGCTCATTCATTTATCAGTCATAAGACATAAATCAGGTGAAAGTGATACTCCGTAATCGTCATCAGTCGTGCAAGTCATAAGCTGACGCTCTAAGAGGCGACTTTGGTCCGAGCTTGAAGGAACTTCTCATAGAGAGCTCGCTCGGCAACGGTTTTCTTTTCCATTTTCTTGCGTAGCGTCTCCTCGGCTTCTGTAACAACCGCACGCGCGTTGTTCACAGTATCCAGTTGATGCTTCAGTGAGAGAGTTTCCTGTACGCGTCATTAGCGAGAGGGCCCAGTCACAGGAGGTCTACAACGGCAAGGAGACTTACCCGAAGCATCTCTGCTCTCTTATCCCGGTCCGCCTCTTCGCATATCTCTCGGAAAATCCGAGGAATAAAGGCAGAGATCTCCTCATCTTTCTGCTCCTTAGGAAGGTTCAACCAATCTGTGTTTGAGGTATGAGTTGTCTGGGAAGAAGCAGCCCCTGGAGACTCGGAGATCGCTGCCTGTTCTTCTGCGATCTTTTTGGTCTGTGATGCCTTCTTGGATCCAGTCGCTGATCTGAGATGACGAGAAACGCGGGTCGAGCGCTGCGGGCTTCCAGTAGAAGCTGCCATCGCTGAAGTTCTCCGGGAGCGGCCGTCTGCAGCAACAGGCGTTTGCAACCTAGGGTTTGTGGCCGCTCTAGTACGCGTTGACTTGGTAGGCCTAGCAAACGAGGGAGTTTGGTATTCCTCGTAGACACGTGGCGAAGGGGCCGGGATGGAAGATAAGGAGGAAGTAGGAGTCGGGAACGCTCCGGGTGAGACATGGATAGGGGCACTAATGCTGCGAGCACTCTTGCTCCAACCAGCTCGTTCGGGCAGTCTGGGGGACTTAATTCGTGACTTAGAGGCTGTCGTTGCCGATTCCAATTTACCATCATCCTTACTAGCACGATCGGCTGCACCGCTTTGAGCCTGGACTGCAGACTCTTCTACTGCAGCGTCGGTGCTCTCTTGATTCTTCATACGTGCTTTATCAGCGGCATTTTTATGCTTGAAGATGTTGCGAAAGCTGTCAAGCATGCGATTGCTCCTCGAGTCTGGGAACTTGCCTTTTCCGCGCTGTGCGCTATGTTTGTTTTCGAGCACGATATCGTCGAAGGTCACAGTGCGTTCCAAATCTGTTGTGCCGCCTGGGTGTGGTATATTGGGAGTCCGAGGAGTAGTCACGGCAGACTCTCCGTGGCTAGCGGGAACCGACTGTAGTGAGGACGTACGGGTAGGATGCGGGCTGCCAGCGGCTGCTGCCCCCTTGACCCTCGCGGCTTTCAGTTCAGGCAAAGGTTTGTCCTTGTGCAAGAACGCATTATGTCCATCGGGAATCTTGGGCACAGTAGGCACCACGTACTGAGACGGAAGTTCATTCGAACTGGGATTGTGGAGATCGGTGAGGCTTGGGCTACCTACAGGCTTTCGTGGAATAGAAAGCTCACGTCCACTGAAGTCCCTTCTGGAGATATTCTCAAGAGAAGGCCGGGGGCGACAAAAGTTCCGAGAAGCTTCAGGGGTTGCAGCAGGGCTGACCTTTGCTTCATGACCTCCTTCAACCGATCTGGAACTCTGCTCACCGAGGCGTGCGTTGTGGGGGCTACTCTGTGTAGCAGTACGAGGGACGTCTCTTTTAAGATCAGGAGACGATCTCGAAGAAAGCTTCGGGGTGCCCATGATGACGTTTTCCGCCGACGCCGCGATCTGCAGACGTGGTCCGTAGAAGCGTTGAGCAGATCGCTCGAATCGCCGACGATTATCGCCAGTGTAACCGCTGGGTCTCTCCAGCTCGTCCGCGTCATCCTGATCACCATCCCAGTCGCCACTAGAGGATGATGTGGATGAGTAGCGGGAAACCTCGTTTGCTATGTCTTCATCTCGTATATACCCCCACAGAGTATCGATCTGATGCTGGAAAGGCGACACATGAGGCCTGCGGGTACTTTCAGTGGCACGGGTCTCACCAGCCTTGTGTCCACTAGAGCCACCTTCAGGCATGTTCTGATGCTCCGTGCCAACCTTTCGGACCGCGACGGGGATTGAGCTACGGTGCTCAGAAGTCACACGCGTGCCTTTCTGTTGGTTTCCTTCAGTACCCACCTTCTGGGAAGCCGGGGCAGGGATACGAGTTCCATGGCTGGCGTGTCGAGGTGTATCTTTGTTGGTGTTTTTGTCTTTGCAATGTCAGCAAGAGCTTTCAAGTGAGAAGGCCGTACGTACCTTGGTTGAGAGCCTCAGGTCTTACAGACTCAGAAGAGATTGTGTTGTCCTGGTCTGATTTTGCAGTGGATGCAGCGTTATCTGCTGTATTCTCCACAACACCTGCGTACGAGTACTTGTTAGCATCTTAAGTATAAGGTATAGTCGCTGATAGATGGAAAAGAAGCGAAGGTCCTCATGAAGCTACTCCTCAGCCACCGCAGGCTTGAGATAGCTGAAGAAACAGATCGGAGTACGGGAGCTCTTGCACATCATTGCAGAACATAGAAATTATGAACAAGGAAACAGCAGAGCCGTACCTTCAGAGACCTGAGACTGAGACGTGTTATCAAGGTTGTCTGCGGTGTGATTGCCACCAGTCGAAGAATCAACAAAGGGATCCTTTGACGCCGAACCTGGTTCAGGTGGCATCCTGGCTTTTTTCTGGATTCTTAGAGGGGTGATCGTTACATCAGAAGAAGTATCTGAGAAAGAAGATCGAGGGGAAACCTCGCCGAGGTTATTGGGAAAAGTGTGATATTGAAGTATGGATGAAGAGAGTGAAAGTGGACGACTATTCTGGTGCTGAAGGAAAGAGGAAGAAGTTGCGAAAGACTCAGTTTGGGTGATGCCTTCGCCAGAATTTCTGAAATTTGGATGTGTTTGAATAAGAGAGGCCACATCTGAGAAAAACAACAGGGACTGGCGCACTGTGCGGTCCTCGTCTTCATTCACTATTGTAGGGCCGGGTCCGTCTTCGACCTGCGTACTAGTGCCAGCCTCTGCGAAAAGCTCTGCGAGCTTCGGAGAATCAGCTGCCCTGCTGTATACTGAGATTTCAGAGTATCGTCGACAGTCCCCGAGTGTGATGGTGCTCCCTATCTTCTCAGAGTGAGTCTTCCCTGGACACAGACCTCAGGTATATCCACGTACAGACAAAGTTGATAGCGGTCTTTTCTGAAGCCTAGGGAGACCAAGGAACATCGAGGCTCGCCTGAGCTCTTTGATCTCCTTGATATGATAAATTGGCTTGCACTGCATGCCATCCACTCAGCTTCCCTGCAACTCACAACAAACGTCCTTGACAACACGTACCTCGAGAAGCCGTTCTTGCGCATCCTTACGCATCGCCTTCACAGAGGCCTTCAGTGCATGCAACGTCCTGAGCGCCCTGATATTCCTAAGATTCTTCACGACGCCTCTCACCCGAGCTTTCCTGACTTGATACCTCTTTCTGATCTCCTTCAGGATCCTCTCTTTTCGTGACTCTTTCTTGATCTCAACCGGTTTTGGCCGGAAGAACATCGGTTCAATCCCCATGATCTTAGGAATAGGAGGACCTGTGTATTGGCGTGGTGGCCGATACTCGACAGGCTTAATCTTGGTCTCAGTGAACAGCATAAATCGTGGGACTTCCTTCGGCTGAGACTCGCCATCCTGCTTATCCTTCGATTCGTTGATCTGACTCTCGGGGGCCTCGCTGGGAGGGGAGGGGGGCTTAGGAGTCAACTCCTCTGCAACTTGCTTCAAGTTCGGTGCTGATGCTCTGCTCTTAACCCCTGGTACATAGTTTTCCTTGATTGCCTTACGCCCTTTGCCGCTGGCAGGAATATTGATGGCACTTCTTTTGGTCCTGAGATTGGGAGCTGAGCGCTTCCCTTTCAGCTTTGCTGAATGTGGGTCATGCTTCATCTTGAGTCGTGGTCGACTGCCCTGCTAGCAGGCAAAGATCTCGCCTCGCAGGCTATTTCTCAGAGAATGTGACTATCGAGGGTTACGT